TGTTACTCAGGGGACACAGAATTGTTACTCAGGGACAGACACAGAATTGTTACTCAGGGACAGACACAGAATTGTTACTCAGGGACAGACACAGAATTGTTACTCAGGGACAGACACAGAATTGTTACTGAGGGACACAGAATTGTTACTGAGGGACACAGAATTGTTACTCAGGGACAGACACAGAATTGTTACTCAGGGACAGACACAGAATTGTTACTGAGGGACACAGAATTGTTACTGAGGGACAGACACAGAATTGTTACTCAGGGAACACAGACACAGACACAGAATTGTTACTCAGGGACAGACACAGAATTGTTACTGAGGGGACACAGAATTGTTACTCGGGGACAGACACAGAATTGTTACTGAGGGACACAGAATTGTTACTGAGGGACACAGAATTGTTACTGAGGGACACAGAATTGTTACTGAGGGACACAGAAGTGTTACTGAGGGACAGACACAGAATTGTTACTCAGGGACACAGAATTGTTACTCAGGGACACAGAATTGTTACTCAGGGGACACAGAATTGTTACTCAGGGACACATAATCGTTGAATTAAAGAGTATGTCAGACAACATGCAGAGGAGTGGCAGAGGGAGGCAATGTTTTAGGAGGAGCAGACAGACGTGGCAGCAGAGGAAGGGGTCGAGGCAGCACTAGTCGCAGCCAGAGGCCATTGCTCCCGGTGTCATCCAGCGGTCGTGTCTCCACCGACAACCCTGCCGTCATCGATTGGTTGGCTCGGTCGTCTTCCTCTTCCCAGGTCACCTCTGACACCTACAGCCAACGGTCGGTGGGTACGTCAGACACAACCGTTAGTTGGCATGGCCCGGGAGCAAGCCCACTGAAATCACGTGTCCTCTACCTGCCCCTGTCCTTTGGTGTTCCCTCACCAAGCGAAGTATCGCATGCTGTGGGCTCAGCCCCACTGTACAGTGAGGAAGAGCTAACAGAGGGCGGTCAGGAACTGGGGGGGGGGGGGGGGGGGGGAGACATCCGCCTCTTCAGCAGCCAGGCGAAGAAGTAGTGGCGAGGAGAGTGGCTCGGTAGCCGGTCTAGAGACAGGTCTGTCTCCTGACCCACACGCAGCCGAGGGGGCTAGTAGTGAGGCGGAGACCCTAATTGATGATGATGAGGCTGATCGCACTTGGCAGCCTCGTCGTCATCAGGCTATTGCTTCCGCATCATCAGGAGAAGAGGGTGGCAGCTTGGCAGCGAGCAAAACAGTCGGTGGGTTGCCCAGGAGGCAGCAGGGTCGCAGCAGTGTCAGTGGAGGCAAACGGCCACGGAGTAGCAGCACCAGCTCCACTGCAGCCTACCACCACGGCCAGTAGTGGTGCCGGTGTGCACGGAGGAAGTAGCAGTCAGCCAGTGAGGAGTATCGGGGGCAAAGTTTCCTACTCGGCGGTGTGGCAATTTTTCGTCAAGCCGCCCGAGGAAGTAAACGTAGCCGTATGTCGACTATGTGGCCAGAAAGTCAAGCGTGGCCAGGGGGCCCATGTTGGGACTACAGCGTTGCGGCAGCATATGCAGCGTCGCCATTTGGTGGCCTGGGAAAACCGTGATAAAGATACGGCGGTTCTGCCTGCCCCAGCCCCCGCTCCATCACCCGCTCCGTTACTTGCTCCGTCACCCGACGTCAATCGCCCTCTATCAGCCAGTCAAGGCTCCAACACCTCTGCTGAGGGGAGTTGTCGCTCGTTGGCATCTTCCGCTCGTTCAGATGCTCCTTCTCCTGCTACTCCTCTTCACGGATTCCGTCAGCAGTCTTTCTTGGAATCCGTTTCCAAGAGACAACAGTTTGCGAGCACGCACCCGACGGTGCAAAAGCTGAACGTCCTCCTGTCCAAGTTGCTGGTGCTGCAGTCCCTCCCTTTCCAAGTGGTGGACTCAGCACCTTTCCGAGAAATGATGGCTTGTGCCGCGCCGCGGTGGAGAGTGCCAAGCCGTCATTTCTTCGCCAAAAAGGCAGTGCCAGCCCTGCATTCACATGTAGAGAAGAGATGGTGGGCCAGTCTTTGAGCATGTCGGTCTCTGCCAAAGTGCACGGCAGCGCCGACGTGTGGAGCTGTAACTACGGTCAGGGACAGTACATGTCATTTACGGGCCCACTGGGTGAACGTGGTGCCGGCACAGCCGCACCAGCAACTTGGACAGGTCACGCCGCTTTTGCCTCCACGTTTGCACGTCCTTGGTCCACAAAAGATGTCCGCCTCTACCACCTCTTCTTCCGCCGTGTCCTCAGCCGCCACCCCCGTGCCAAGTCCCATTACCCGACCGGCATATCACATGTGCAGGGCGCAACGGTGTCACGCTGTGCTGCACCTGGTATGCCTTGGCGAACGTAGTCACACAGGGGAGGAACTTCTGAGTGTAATGAACAGAGAAATCGACAGATGGCTGTCTCCGCGCAAACTGAAAATCGGAACCATGTTGACCGACAACGGAAAGAACATGGTGTCTGCTCTGCGTCAAGGAAGGTTGTGCCATGCGCCATGCATGGCTCACGTGTTCAATCTGGTTGTCAAGCGGTTCCTAAAATCCACCATCCCACTGCAAGACATCTTAAAATGTCACGTAAACTTTGCATGCATTTCAGCCATTCCTACACCGCAAAGCACACCCTCCTTGAGCTGCTGCAGCGGCAGAACGGAATTCCACAGCATCGCCTGATCTGCGACGTTGCAACAAGGTGGAATTCAACCCTACACATGTTAGACCGCCTTTACGAACAGCGAAAGGCCATCACCGATTTCCTGATGTTACAAGCGGATAAAGGTACTCCCCTGTGTAACTTCGATGTCAGCCATTGGCAGCTCATGCGTGACACCTGCCGCTTGCTCAGGCCCTTTGAGGAGGCCACGCTATTCGTGAGTCGGCAGGACTATGGGATGAACGACGTCATTCCTCTGTTGCACGTCCTGGAACAAATGCTGTTAACAATGGCTGGTCAGGGTGCGGTAGACGTGGCGCACAGATCTCAACGCCACATGACCCCTGTGGGGGCAGGACAGGGAAGAAGAGGAGGAGGTAGAGGAGGACATTTGTGCTCAGGAATTATTGAGTGAAATGGGTGGTTTTTCCACTCAGCGGACAGGAGTGGAGGAGCAGGAGCATCTGGTAGAGGAGGAGGAGGAGGAGACAGAGGACCCAGACGCACCGTGGCAGTATGCTGTGGAGATGGAGGCAGGGAGTCCCTCGCATTCCTTGGCACAAATGGCCCATAGCATGCTCGGTTGCTTGCGTAGCGACAGCCGAATAATAACCATCAGACAGAGGGATGACTTTTGGCTGTCCACCTTGTTGGACCCTCGCTACCGTTCAAAAATGGTGGCCTTTTTCACACCTGCTGAGAGGGAGGCCAAAATAACGTACTATAAAAACCACCTATGTAGTCAGTTGGTCTCTGCCTTTGTGCGCCAACGTCCATCCTCAGACACTGTGGGCCCTGTGCGCTCGCGTTCCGCTGCCATGGCAGCAGGGGAGGGGTGGGGTGGGGTGGTAGGAGCAGTGGCAGCTCCACCAGCAGCGGCTGCCTCAGTCTGCAGTCGATGATGAGTAGCTTTCTTCACCAGCGCAGTGAGGAAACTACTAACCAGCCGCAGCAGCAGCAGCAGCATCAGGTGGACCTGGAGCAGGACCTCAAACAACAGGCTTGGGCCTACTTGGACAGCACCCTGCCAACCGAGGTAGACAATCCCCTTGACTACTGGGCAACGAAACTTGACCTTTGGCCCCAACTAGCTGAATTTGCCCTTGAAAGGCTGTCATGCCCGGCCAGTAGCGTGGCATCGGGAGCGCGTGTTTAGTGCGGCAGGAGGTATTGTAACTCCGCGGAGGACACGACTGTCCACCCAAAGTGTGGAGAGACTCACGTTTGTGAAAATGAATCAGGCGTGGATTAGTCTGGATTTCAAACCACCAGTTCCTGACACAACTGACTAAATCCGCCATGAATCATGCCCCAAACATGTGCCACTTTCAGGTCTCCTCACACTGCTGGTGTGTTCCATTTTTTGTCATAGGGTGCTGGCAGATTACGGGCCTCCCATAGCTGCTGCCAGGCCCCTAATCTGCCATGGGCCCCTGTACCGCCTCCTCATGCTGCTGCCAGGTCCAGAGTCTCTCATGGGTCCCTGTACGGCCTCCCATTGCTGCTGTCTCCATCGCCACACTCTGCCATGTGCCACTTTCAGGTCTCCTCACACACTGCTGGTGTGTTCCATTTTTTGTCATAGGGTGCTGGCAGATTACGGGCCTCCCATAGCTGCTGCCAGGCCCCCTAATCTGCCATGGGGCCCCTGTACGCGCCTCCTCATGCTGCTGCTGTCCAGGTCCACATGGGTGTGTCATGCCATGTGCCACTTTCAGGTCTCCTCACACTGCTGGTGTGTTCCATTTTTTGTCATAGGGTGCTGGCAGATTACGGGCCTCCCATTGCTGCCCAGGCCCCTAATCTGCCATGGGCCCCTGTACCGCCTCCTCATGCTGCTGCCAGGTCCAGAGTCTCTCATGGGTCCCTGTACGGCCTCCCATTGCTGCTGTCTCCATCGCCACACTCTGCCATGTGCCACTTTCAGGTCTCTCACACACTGCTGGTGTGTTCCATTTTTTGTCATAGGGTGCTGGCAGATTACGGGCCTCCCATTGCTGCTGCCAGGCCCGTAATCTGCCATGGGCCCCTGTACCGCCTCCTCATGCTGCTGCCAGGTCAGAGTCTCTCATGGGTCCCTGTACGGCCTCCCATTGCTGCTGTCTCCATCGCCACACTCTGCCATGTGCCACTTTCAGGTCTCCTCACACTGCTGGTGTGTTCCATTTTTTGTCATAGGGTGCTGGCAGATTACGGGCCTCCATTGCTGCTGCCAGGCCCGTAATCTGCCATGGGCCCCTGTACCGCCTCTTCATGCTGCTGCCAGGTCCAGAGTGTCTCATGGGTCCCTGTACGGCCTCCCATTGCTGCTGTCTCCATCGCCACACTCTGCCATGTGCCACTTTCAGGTCTCCTCACACTGCTGGTGTGTTCCATTTTTTGTCATAGGGTGCTGGCAGATTACGGGCCTCCCATTGCTGCTGCCAGGCCCGTAATCTGCCATGGGCCCCTGTACCGCCTCCTCATGCTGCTGCCAGGTCCAGAGTGTCTCATGGGTCCCTGTACGGCCTCCCATTGCTGCTGTCTCCATCGCCACACTCTGCCATGTGCCACTTTCAGGTCTCCTCACACTGCTGGTGTGTTCCATTTTTTGTCATAGGTGCTGGCAGATTACGGGCCTCCCATTGCTGCTGCCAGGCCCCTAAATCTGCCATGGGCCCCTGTACCGCCTCCTCATGCTGCTGCCAGGTCCACAGTGTCTCATGGGTCCCTGTACGGCCTCCCATTGCTGCTGTCTCCATCGCCACACTCTGCCATGTGCCACTTTCAGGTCTCCTCACACTGCTGGTGTGTGTTCCATTTTTTGTCATAGGGTGCTGGCAGATTACGGGCCTCCCATTGCTGCTGCCAGACCCGTAATCTGCCATGGGCCCCCGTACCGCCTCCTCATGCTGCTGCCAGGTCCACAGTGTCTCATGGGTCCCTGTACGGCCTCCCATTGCTGCTGTCTCCATCGCCACACTCTGCCATGTGCCACTTTCAGGTCTCCTCACACTGCTGTGTGTGTTCCATTTTTTGTCATAGGGTGCTGGCAGATTACGGGCCTCCCATTGCTGCTGCCAGACCCGTAATCTGCCATGGGCCCCCGTACCGCCTCCTCATGCTGCTGCCAGGTCCAGAGTCTCTCATGGGTCCCTGTACGGCCTCCCATTGCTGCTGTCTCCATCGCCACACTCTGCCATGTGCCACTTTCAGGTCTCCTCACACTGCTGGTGTGTTCCATTTTTTGTCATAGGGTGCTGGCAGATTACGGGCCTCCCATTGCTGCTGCCAGGCCCCTAATCTGCCATGGGCCCCTGTACCGCCTCCTCCTCCCCATTGCTGCTGCCAGGAGGCAGCAGGGTCGCAGCAGTATCAGTGGAGGCAAACGGCCATGGAGTGCACCAGCTCCACTGCAGCCTACCACCACGGCCAGTAGTGTGCCGGTGTGCACAGAGGAAGTAGCAGTCAGCCAGTGAGGAGTAGCGGGGGCAAACTTTCCTACTCTGGCATGTGTGGCAATTTTTCGTCAAGCCTCCCGAGGAAGTAAACGTAGCCGTATGTCGACTATGTGGCCAGAAAGTCAAGCGTGGCCAGGGGGCCCATGTTGGGACTACAGCGTTTGCGTCAGCATATGCAGCGTCGCCATTTCGGTGGCCTGGGAAAACCGTGATAAAGATACGGCGGTTCTGCCTGCCCCAGCTCAGGGTTCCATTTTGTCATAGGGTGCTGGCAGATTACGGGCCTCCCATTGCTGCTGCCAGGCCTTAATCTGCCATGGGCCCCTGTACCGCCTCCTCATGCTGCTGCCAGGTCCACAGTGTCTCATGGGTCCCTGTAGCCTCCCATTGCTGCTGTCTCCATCGCCACACTCTGCCATGTGCCACTTTCAGGTCTCCTCACACTGCTGGTGGGTTTCCATTTTGTCATAGGGTGCTGTATGGCCTCCCATTGCTGCTGCCAGGCCCGTAATCTGCCATGGGCCCCCGTACTGACTCCTCATGCTGCTGCCAGGCCCGTAATCTGTCATGGGCCCCTGTTGTCGCTTGTTGGCATATTCCGCTCGTTCAGATGCTCCTTTCTCCTGCTACTCCTTTCACGGATTCCGTCAGCAGTCTTTCTTGGAATCCGTTTCCAAGAGACAACAGTTTGCGAGCACGCACCCGACGGTGCAGAAGCTGAACGTCCTCCTGTCCAAGTTGCTGCTGCCAGGCTCGTAATCTGTCATGTGCCCCTGTACCGCCTCCTCATGCTGCTGCCAGGTCCAGAGTGTGTCATGGGCCCCCCGTACCGACTCCTCATGCTGCTGCCAGGCCCGTAATCTGTCATGGGCCCCTGTACCGCCTCCTCATGCTGCTGCCAGGTCCAGAGTGTGTCATGGGTCCCTGTACGGCCTCCCATTGCTGCTGCCAGGCCCGTAATCTGCCATGGGCCCCCGTACCGCCTCCTCATGCTGCTGCCAGGTCCAGAGTGTCTCATGGGTCCCTGTACGGCCTCCCATTGCTGCTGTCTCCATCGCCACACTCTGCCATGTGCCACTTTCAGGTCTCCTCACACTGCTGGTGGGTTCCATTTTGTCATAGGGTGCTGTATGGCCTCCCATTGCTGCTGCCTCCACCGCCACACTGTGGCTCCACACTCTGGTTTTGGCCCCGTGACTGCCCAAATGAGTGAAGTGTGCGGTGATTCTAAGATCAACGGCACTCATCTGCATGTCATACTGACTGATAGTATTATTTCTCTTCCCCAGCAGACTCCAAGGGCATTTAAATTAAAGGTACAGTGTTCTGCACTAATATAAAGGCTCTCTGAAGCCTAGAAACACCCTTTTATAAGTTAAATTCGCAGCGAATATATTCGACTCGAATCAAAATTTTTTCACGAATTCGCCGAATCAGTCGAATCGAATTTTTGAATAATTCGCTCATCTCTAGTACTGTTACCCAAGCTGGAGAAGTATATGAATGCTCTGGGAGGTGGGATGGAGGTGAGGAGAGAATCTTTACAGGCCCATGTAGTACTTATTCACAAGGAGGGAAAAGATCCATCTCAGTGCTCCAGCTATAGACCAATTTCATTATTGAACACAGATACCAAACTGTACGCAAAGGTTCTAGCAAACAGGTTGAAAGATCTAATGCCTGATTGGATCCATGGAGATCAGGTGGGCTTCGTACCAGGGAGAGAGGGTAGAGATAACGGCTTGAGAACCCTGATGCTTATTCAGAAAAGTAGAAAAGGGAAAGCCCCGGTGGTGCTCTTGTCAATTGATGCAGAGAAGGCATTTGATAGAGTGGACTGGGGCTTTATGATGGACAACTTAACCTCCCTGGCGGTATGATTATTTCAGATTTTTGGTGCTGAAAGCGGTACCATTTTTTTGCATGGAAATATGTATTTTTTTAATTGTAGGCCTGTAATATTTAGGAATAACTCACTGAAATCTGTCCGAACAAGAGTCTAGTAAACATCCCGGGTATGATAAAATTTGAAACACAAAATCATAAATTATAATTTAATAAATAATCATAAAAAATAATATAAAAATAAAAAAATTTAATTCAATAATATAATCAAACCAAAAACACTGAAATTTGAAATATAGCGCCAAGTTCGCACATCGCTGAGCTCAGTCGCAAAATCGTTTTCAGTGTCTGATGATGAATTTCCCCACGAATCATTATCACTCAATTCTGCAAGTGGTTCTGATTTACTATCGCTGTTCTCTAGCTGGTCTAAAACCGCTTTTGACCTAAAGGGACACTTTTTGGATGCCATGGACGTTTCTCAGTTTCCAGGCAGAAAGAACAGTAAAAATGCAGGCAGGGCACAGGACAAAGCACTAGGGACAAAATGTATGTGAAATTGGTTGAGACAGCAATGTTTTACTATGTAAAATGTAAAAAAAAAAAAATGACATTTTTTAAAATTTTTAAATTTCCCGCCGCCGCGGCGGCGGCGGCGCCCGTACGTCCCGACGTCACAGGGACAGGACACAGAAGCCGGATGCCGGCATCGGCCGGAGGAGATGGCCGGGGACGCTGCAGGGGACACATCGTGGGAGCGCAGGGTAAGGTAAGTGAAGAACACATGCCGGAGCAGCGCCACATGGTATTCCCGAGTGTAGCTCGGGGTTACCGCTTTTGGTACTGAAATGTTACCCCGAGCTACACTCGGGAATACCGCTAAGGAGGTTAAAAGCGCTGGGGATAGGTGATAGAATGCGTGAGTGGATAAGTAAATTATATAGGGAGCCTACTGCAATCATCACGGTAAATGGGGGGAGAGATCAGAACCCATTGGAATGTCTAATGGAACAAGACAGGGCTGCCCACTGTCCCCTTTATTATATGTGTGTTGTCACTCGAACCTCTGTTGTCAATAATAAGGAACAGTGGAGCGGTAAAGGGAATTCAGATAGAAAACTATAGAACATAAAGTAGCGGCTTTTGCAGACGACCTATTGTTCTATGTTGGAATCCCCGAATAACACTCCCAAATATAATGAGGATCCTGAAGGAGTATGGTGAATTATCAAATTTAAAAATCAATCCAACGAAAACAGAGATCTTGAACATTAATATATCAAAGAATGAAAAAGAAAAACTACAAAAAGATTTCCCCTTTATATGGAGAGAAAAAGATATAAAATACCTAGGAATAAAACTCAGTCTCATCTAAATATTTATATAGATTAAACTATATTTCTTTGATAAACGAGATCAGGGAAGATTTAAAAAACATTAGAAGGAGGAAACCCATCCTGGATAGGACGTACAAATCTAGTCAAAATGGTAATTATACCTAAAATATTGTATAGATTTCAAATGGTACCAATTAAAATCCCAGAGGCCTTTTTTTAAGATAATAAAAAAATGTTAACAAGATATATATGGAAGAATAAAAAACCTAGAATATCATATGAAACATTAAGTAGGACTAAAGAGAAAGGGGGAATGGGTCTGCCAGATGTCAAGAGATACTATAAAGCAGTGGTCTTAGCAAGAATATATGACTGGACATTTAACCAGAAGGGGAAAAGTTGGGTAACAATTGAAAATGACCTAAGTGGAATTAGACTGAGTCAGATGATATGGGTTCCAGCACAGTTTAGAGGAATTAAGGAAAGCACACAAGTATTTACACTTTAAATGTCTTAAGGGTATGGGATAACTTACAAAAAAATATGAAATGGGAATTTAATTCTATATTAATGCCTCTTACAAATACTGAGTACTTTCCCCCCGGGAAAGGATAAGATATCAGGGAGATGGATTAGAAAAGGGGATATCCAACTGAGAGATGTTTTGGTGGAGGGGGAATTGAGAGACCACTTAAAGAATTAATAGAGAAAAAGGGAGATATCTTCACTAGAATAGACGAGTGGAAATACCATCAATTGAAATGTTTTATTGGAAATCTCCCGAAACCCTTGAGATTAAACAGGAGTGTGGAATATGTTTGAAAGGTTGTTAGAAACACGAAGGGATGGGAAGCACGGTATTTCGAAAATTTATAGAATACTCACAGAATTAGACACAAACACAAAGTTAATTTTTATAACAAATTAGGAAAGGGATATGGAAGTAGTGTTCGATGAGGATAAAACAGAGAAAGATATTTAGATTGATACACGAGAACGTTAGTATGAGAGAGGTTGAGAGTAATTATAAGTGTGTGACACGATGGCACATTACACCGAGTGTTTGAGCAAAGATGAATGGGGAAAAATTCAAAAATGTGTTGGAGAGGATGTGGAGAGATAGGCACGGTGTTTCACATATGGTGGGAAATGTCCGAAAAGTTTTTTGTGAAGATAATAGTCAAATTGATTGAAGAAATAACGGAATTGACATAGGGTTAGACCCAACGACGTGCCTCCTACATAAATGTGGACATCAGTAAATAAATACAAAGAGTCAGGCGTATGGTTACTAAATGCGGCGAAAAGGTCTGATACCCAAGTTTTTGGCAGAAATCTGAGGTACCGAAGGAGGAAGAGACTGGATTAATAGAGTAAACCAGATTGGTGCTATATGTGAATGGAAAAATCTTACCATATGCAGGAAGATAGGATGGGAGTATACTTTATGAGATGGGAAAAGTGGGAAAAAGCAGGATTGAAAGAGAAATATAGAAAACTATAAAATTAGGACGTTATCTAAAAGTTAATAAGCCTCGAGAGAGTAGAATGGGTTAGAGTCTGCAGAGGGGGAAGGAGAGGAGGAGGAGGGGGGGATGGGGGGGGTGGAAAGGGTGTGGGGTGGGTTGGGAAAGAAAAGAGCTTTTAGAAGGGGAAATGTAGGAATGTTATAAATGTCTATTTATATGTGAATTATTTGTATTAATATGAAAAATTTAATAAATATATAAATTAAAAAAAAAATAGCTCGCATTAGTGAGTGTATTTTGTAGTATAGTGTCCCATAAAAAATGTTGATTCTGAAAAGAAAGGAAAGGTTTTCTGACAAATCTGTTGGGGGTGTACTCATTTATGCTGAGCACATTGTGTGTGCATTATTTATATATATATATATATATATATATAATACACACACACTATATTGCCAAAAGTATTGGGACACCTGCCTTTACACGCACATGAACTTTAATGGCATCCCAGCCTTAGTCCGTAGGGTTTAATATTGAGTTGGTCCACCCTTTGCAGCTATAACAGCTTCAACTCTTCTGGGAAGGCTGTCCACAAGGTTTAGGAGTGTGTCTATGGGAATGCTTGTCCATTTCTACCAGAAGGGCTTTCTATGAGGTCAGGCATGGATGTTGGACAAGAAGGCCTGACTCGCAGTCTCTCCCCCCTAATTCATCCCGAAGGTGTTCTATCGGGTTGAGGTCAGAACTCTGTGCAGGCCAGTCAACTTCTTCCACCCCAAACTCGCTCATTCATGTCTTTATGGACCTTTCTTTGTGCACTGGTGCACATTCGTGTTGCAACAGAAAGGGGCCATCCCCAAACTGTTCCCAGAAAGTTGGGAGCATAAAATTGTCCAAAATGTGTGGTATGCTGATGCCTTAAGAGTTCCCTTCACTGGAACTAAGGGGCCAAGCCCAACCCCTGAAAAACAACACCCCACCATAATCCCCCCTCCACCAAACTTTACACTTGGAACAATGCAGTCAGGCAAGTACTGTTCTCCTGGCAACCACCAAACCCAGACACATCTATAAGATTGCTACATAGAGAAGCATGATTTGCCACTCCAGAGAACACATCTCCACTGCTTTAGAGTCCAGTGGCGGTGTGCTTTACACCACTGCATCTGACGCTTGGTGATATAAGGCTTGAATGCAGCTGCTTGGCCACGTAAAATGATGCATGATGCTCTCTGTGCACTGTTCTGCTAATCTGAAAGCCACTCATAGTTTGGAGGTCTTTAGCTATATGACTCTGCAGACAGTTGGCGACTTATGCGCTTCATCGCATATGCTGACCCTTTTCTGTAATTTTGCGTGGCCTACCACATTCTGGCTCAGTTGCTGCTGTTCCGGATGCTTCCACTTTGTTAGAATACCACTAACAGTTAATCGTGGAATATTTAGTAGTAAGGAAATTTCACGGATGGACTTATTGCACAGGTGGCAACCTATCTCTGTACCACATTAAATTCACTGAGCTCCTGAGAGTGACCCATTCTTTCACAAATGTTTGTAGAAGCAGTCTGCATGCCTAGGTGCTTTATGTTATATACTGTGGCCATGGAAGTG